TTTTTGCTGTCCAAAACAATCTACAGCAGTGGATGTACTTTTTAATTGTTTTAGAAAAAAAACCAAACTCTTAGAATGTGAATCACTCAAATTCATTATGTCAGAAAATGTTTCCTTGGCAACTGGGGGAAATTTCAGAATGAACAGAATATAGGTGAGATTTCTTTCTCTCTAACAGACAGCCCTTCACCGCCCACAGACGGTAGGAGCCATCATTGGAATCCGCTACCAGCACAGCAGTGGTACAGGGCCAGTAAGCCGCTATGACCTCTTGTCCTGAAACGGCCAACAGACAGGGAGGGCAGGGTGGACTGTCCTTACTCTGTTTTGCCCTGTACAAACTCCCTTTCCACTTCCTAACCTATTTGAAACCCCTCTCTTTTATTTTTTTAACTTGATACTTAGGGAATCAAAATCAGCTTCCCAAGGGTAACGAAAAATGACAGCATATGTCACATCCAGGCATTTTCTGAGATTGATTCATCTGTTTCAGCTATGCCACTTCTCATTTTCTGAGATTGATTCATCTGTTTCAGCTATGCCACTTCTCCGCAACCAACAGTTACTAAACCCCTACAATGGAGAATTCCTGCTAAGAAACAGCCATACGCTGCATTGGAACAGAGCAAAGCCAAAGTCTCTGCAGTGGCCTTCAAGACCATCACGGTGGGGACGCCCGCAACATGCAGGGTACCTCCTGCCACTCTTCCTTGTCATCCCACTCTAACCTGGCTCCTTGGCCGAGCCTCCTTCCCCCAGATGGCCACAGTGTGACCTCCCTCTAAAGCTCAAGAGTTTGTTCAAGCCACGTTCTGAATGGCCTTCCCTAACTACCATATTGAAAAATCACAAAACTCTCTACCCTGGCACTCCCAAACCTCTTTATTTGCTCTACTTTTAAAAATTGCATTTATCATCTCCTGAAGTCCCAAACACTGCTTATTTATTATGTTCATTATTTGTTATCAATCTCCTTCCTCTGGTCCCCAAAATAAGCTTATTGGATTTTTTTGGCTATTATTCTTATTGCTTTGTTCACCAATATGCCTAGGGTAATGTCTAGTCTTAATAGACACCCAATAAATATCTGAATAAATTACCGTTTTGCTCCTTTTGTCATACATAACTGATAAGAAGTGGTTATACTTATAATCTAATCTCATTCGTTAAATATAAAGATCCAAAATAGAGCCATCGTATTTTTAAGGTTAAACAGCTGCAGACTCCAAAGAAGCTTATAGGTTAGACTTGGTTTTTTGTGTCTTGGTTCCACTCTTATGAAACTTGATGCCAAAAATTCCCATGGCAGCTGGTTCCTTGTTAAGAGTTCAAGGATGTATTTAGAACATAAAACCTCTGTGTGAGGATCACTAAACTCTGCTGTATGTGTTCTTCATTCACCTCTGTTAGCTTCAGCTCTGGGTCTTAAACTAAGTTCAGCTGTAAATGTTGCTACTTTTGAGCCCCTTGAGCAGAAATGTAGGCTTTAACAAGACCTAACTTGAATGACTCCTTGCACTAGAAAGTGGTTTAGAGGAAGGATGAGCTGCCTTTCAACAAGGCTTGCAAATTAGAGAATTATTCTTTCTCAAGCCATAGCACAGGAAAATCCCTGCATGAGAGACAATTCATTGATTATATTTTAGGTATATGTTTTGTCCAGTCCAAAAATGCACTCATTCTGTTTCTCTGTACAAGTGTATCCAGAGGTATACATCTCTTTTCCAATTCTCTTAGTAGCTTTTCTACAATTAAAAAATCAACTCTGATGCCATGAGCTCATTTTAAATCAAGAAATGTCTTTGTTTTCTTCAAAGGAGAATTATCTGATAGGGTTTTTTTTTCTTTGTCTATTCAGGTGACATTCTGAAGAAATCCTTAAGTCAGAGGTCATAGCCTAGGTGTTGGAACTGCTAACAATTAAAGCAAAACAACATATTGAATAAAAAATGGTTTAATCATCATGAAGTCTGGAATGGGAAGGTGTGGGGAGGGGGAACAGTGCTTATCATTTGTGTCTTTGTGTTAATTCTGATTCTAATTTAATACAGTACATTTAATTCTAAGAAAAGCCTGAGAAATTTACTTTCTAATCAGAGTTTAATTCCAAGGTCTGAAACCATGCCTAGAAACACAAATTCACGTCCTGAAAAGCTCATTCCCTGAGACCTGCTCTGATAGATAGGCCTGATGTATTTAACTCTTTTCTTTGGAAAGATCCAAGATTATTTTCCAGGCTCTTCCATCTGTGAGCTTTTAGCTGATAAGGCCCTGAGAATGGGTTAATCAGTTTAGGGCACTTGGTCTGTGCCATCGGCCCATGCTGACCACGCTGTGGGGAGGTAGGTAAGCTGCGAACCGGACCCAGGTCTGCTCCTGTGTAACGGTGTAGGCTTGGAATTTATCTGAGCCTCCTTTTCCTCACTGGTAAATTAGAAATAACAAGGACACCAAGGTAAAGATAATAGTAAGTTCTCAGTTAACATTACCTCAGTGTCATCCACATCTTTTAATCTTCTCAACATTCCTACAATTCCACAACAACTTCCTACAACAATTCCGCAACAAATCTACATCCCTACCATATAGAATTGAGAGGCAGTACAGCTTGCTCAAAGACATCCAGAAAATAAGGGGTTAAGCTAATTTAAATATATAAAAGCTCCTGCTCACCTTCCGTGACAATTCCTTTGAAGCTGTTTGATTTTAACCCAAGAATTTCTTTTGTCTGTAGGTTGAGAACATGGACCTTAATAACTAATTTCTCTGTGCTATTTACCTAGGGTCTGGGACCAAAAGCACCAAGAATGTCAGTGCCTATTTTGACCCTCAGTTATTCTGCAACATTAGTTTTTGGCTATGAGAGAACATGCTTCCCTCGAGATCTGATCACACAGCTCTTTACTAATGTTTGTACAAAGCTGTGCTATTTCCTGGGAGCTTTTGTAACATATATCTGACCCTGGAGTCACTAATAGCAGAGAGACCAACAGTTAAGTAGCAGCTAAGTGAAACATTTATAGGAGCTGGTGAAGGAACCATTACAATGGGGTCACATCCCTTGAGGCATATACAATTCAGCTTTATTTCAAAGAGCAGTTCATCTTTCTGTATTTTAAAAGACATTATGCTTCAAACATTTTATAGTGTTTTAATGGCCTCCAGAAAGGGAATTCCTAAACATCTGTGAATGCCTCCAGTGTGCCTAGCACTGTTTGGGACCAGAGAGAGTCCGTTCATGACCGTTACTGTGAGCTAATAATCGAGTGGAGACACCTAAATAAAACAGGACAAAATAAGAACTGCAAAAAATATGCTAGCAATGTGTGCCTTTGTTTTTCTGAGGCTAATAAATAAATGCCAGGCAACAGAAAGACCTTCAATATGAGTTTGGTCCTTTAAACAAAAGGAATGTGCTGTGATCAAATAAGAGAAGGGAACAACTGGTTCTGATGGGAAATCTTGGAGAAGGCCTCATGGAAGAAAAGGTCCTGGCCTTAAAAAATAAGTAAAATAGTAGTTGAGGGAGAAGGAGAAGGAATCAAAGGCCACAGAGGTAACCCGAGCAGAAGGCAGGGAAGTGTGTGAGTGAAGCGAACATTCAGATGGCCAGGAGCCTCCACAGTTAAGCATGGGCTTCATGCAGACAGCAGTGGAAGGTGAAGGTGTGAGGGTAAATTGGAGCCCATCGTGAAGGCCTAACTGACACAGAATGGAACGTGTATTCTAATTTCTGTATGACTGGGAGGTTTTGAAACAGCAGAGTAATATATTCACTTCACTGTTTTTGAAAAATAATTTTGGAGGTAAGCAGAGGATGAATTTAGGAGATGAAACTGGAAACAGGACCATCAGCCAGGAAGTGCATGTACAAGGTCAGTGGAACTCTACCGTCAGCCAGACATGAGGCCTTCACCAAGACAGTTGCCCAGGAAATAAAAGAGCATTCTGAGGGGCCAGCGACCACTCATTAGGAAAATAATCTGCTAATGTCCATGGGAAGTGGGGAGACATAAAATATGGTATGAAAGAATTGGTGATTCTAGGCAGGGTATCTTGAGAGAAGATGATGGGTACCAGGTTCCCTGACAAAACTGAAGTTTCTGGATAATCTCATGTTTTGATTTTATGACCATGCTCAGCTCCATTGCAATAATAGCATCTTCCAAATCACAAAACATAATTTTCCATTTTCAAGGCACAAATCTATGTGATAAAAGCTATTTGATAAAAGCATTCAAAAGAGAGGTTACCATGTGCCTTAATGAAGGCCACACCAAAGCCTTCTACAGCTTGAACTTACAGGGGAGGCAAAACTTTATCTCTACCCACATAGGCTTTCAGCTGAGACTGTAACAAAAAGACAAGTCAATAAGAGAAAAACAAACAGAAGTATATTAACAAGCACACCTCCCGTATACATGAGAAACACCCAGGAAAAATAAGTAACTCGAAGAGGTGGCTTTCGAATTCTGAATTAGGGGAGGGGATGTAGGCCTCTGAAGGGAGAGAATCTGATCTTTAGGCAAGGTGAAAGAGCCCTTAGGAGAATAGACAGGAAGAATGGTTTATGACAAAGTTTGTCACAGCGTGGGATCCACTTCTAGTTTCCTCTCCATGTTATGAGTCAGTCCTTCCTGACTGATAACACCCCTGGGAAGGGGATTGATGACATTTCTTTTGGAGGATTTATCTTTAGACAGATGAGGATTGTTCAGAGAAAGCATCTCCCTGCATTTACTGATTTCAAATGCTTGCAGTTCAAAATGATCAGTATACCAAAGTAACGTATTTTGGGGTGCTACATTCTGCCGTTCTTCAAGCCAGAGCCAGTGACGTACGGGAGACTGTGTCAGAAACCCAGAGGAAACCATTAAAGAGTAATTCCTTGAGAGCTGCTGTAAGTGAAGTTATTCTGAGGCTTGAGCTGCTGCTTCTTGAAAATACTTTTCACTTCTCTCATTTTCTCTTCTTTTTCTTCCTCATGCTACGCTTTTTAGAGGAAAAGTCCGGTAAGGAATAAGTCCTTTCCACATTTTGGCCAAACATTATTTATTCTCTTCAGTTCCATCATCTGCATATCCAATGATTGACTGTGTTTAACACCTAAACAGGATTTTGAATTTTAAAAACAAACCTTTGTGAACCAGGACAAGGCCTAATTATACCCCGTGCAGAAAAAAGGAAGTTGGTTGCTAAGTGATTTTACAAGCCTATTATTAAGGGCCAGAGGGTAATTTTGTAAAGATTTATGTCTGCCTCAAAAACAGGCATGTGATCAAATATTTTAGGTATTAAGTGTTATTTATTGCAATTTCTCCTGGGATTAGTCAAGCTACACATACATACCATAAGCTCAGCAAACACTTTGTTAAGTTAATTTCTTGTTTAATGCACAAAATGATAGCATCCATGAATGAAGGCCTCTGAAGCTGGCCTACAAGAGGGAAGTTGTCTTTTTTATTTAGTTTCTCATCTAATCAGAAAAATATCCCCTTCTGGAGTTGCAGAGACAGAAAAGGAAGATCTTTGTAAAAGTGCAAAGCAACTCTTCCACAGTCCTCTTTAGTATCAGTGAGTGATTTTTAGTGGCAGCACAAATGTGCCATGATGTACCTACATCATTGTTTATATTAGGACAACAATGAAACAGATCTACTGAAAAAAAAAAATCCGATGTTCTCTTCTCAGTTGCCAGGTGTATTGGGAGCATGTTCCCAGGATGCCAATAGTCGGCTGACTAGAAAATATGCAAATGCTGTTTGCAAGTTAATGAGCCCCGAGAAGGGTTTGGTGGTTGGTTGTACTTACCTCACCTAAGTGGATGCTGCAATAAGTGCTGCAACGTGTCATCCTGTCCATTGTCCCCAGCCTGGCAGTCCCGGTACCACCTGCAGGCTACGACACTTGTAGGAAGTCCCAGTGATAGGAAGGGAGGAGAGGTGGAAGACACAGAAGAACACAAAAGGAGATCAAAATATTATAATTTATAGAAATATGAACCCAATGCTTTTTTGTTTCTAAAAATAAAGTAAGTGCTTGTTATTATCACTACGGCTCATACTAAGACGAATGGCCCACCTCTGAGTAATTGAGAGTCAACTACACATTACATGCTTTGTGGCATACAATTTTATGCTTTAGTAGCCTTTCTTTACGTTTTGTCAACTGCACTTATTCTTGACTCTGAATCTTTCTCGGAATTATCCAAATTTGGCCACTTCAAATATTGACTGAATCATGTGGCCTGAAGTTGACCTACGGTGTCTTAACAATTCCCTGTTCCTCATTGGTTTCCACCCTGTTGTCCTCATAGCAGTTTTAACTACAAGTAACCCTTTTCCTTGAGAGCTGTTTGTTTCCACGGGTGAGTCTCCCTCCCATTTCCTTGCCTCATTTTCCTGTGGAAATGCCCATCTTGTTGAGTCCTCAATCTGATTGAGTCTTAATGACATCTAGCAGGCTCTTTGTTTATCTTCCCAAATGGAGATTCAGAAGATCATCTCAACCAAGTCCTATTGGGTATGATAGGTAGTCACTGGAACAAATCTAAAAAGACACAAACACCTATAGGGGGTGGGCGAGGGGGAGAAGTGTTTGCCGGATAGCTAGCCTTCACCATAAGCATTTAAAAGCAAGTCAGAATATTGGCTGGAATGAAAATAATGAGCATAATGATCACATATTCTAATTCTTTCCTAGAAAATGCTCTAACATGAATCACTGAATTTGCTGTTACTAGCCTGTATAAAAATATTTGTTTGGTGCTTTGTAGCTTTTCACGCATTTTCCTCTGGTCCCCCATAGCACTGAATTTAGCAAATGAGGACGTTGTAAAGCTTCAAAACCTGAGGCTGATTTAGTGATTTTGATGAGCAAGACATATTGTGTTTGGTTACTTCTTTTTATAAATATCTTAAAACACCCGCATTGGCTAAGACTAAGGTGTCCTAGTAGGCTGAATTTAAATTAATCCTTTTGTGCAAAAAATAACAAAGCAACGCTAGTGTGGAATGAGGACACTGTGGAAACTATGAGGACATAGGCTGAAATATTATTTTAGGAAGGCATATTCATGTTGCAAAATATATACATTTTAGAAATGCAACATGTTCTAACCAAAGATCTTCATTCTAGTGACCAAATCAGAAATTATTAGTGTATGCCCACTTTGAAAATAGCCTCAAGGTACAAAGTAAGAGTTATCTCTTTTCAGAACACCGAAATAAAAGTAGAGGGAATACTAAAATGCTTCCAAAATGTTCTCCAGAACGTATCAGAAGGTCAAGAGAAATCTAGGAATTGAGAAATTAATATTTAAATAGGAACACAGGAATTGGTTCAGAAAATGAACAGACCAGTTACAAAGTCCCTGTTTGAGTTATCAGGTGAAATAATAAGAACAGTAGATAAAATTTACTGAGAGCTTATTATTTGTGATACAGAAGCCTGCAATCAGAGACAAATTGGCCACCTGCAGATTCTGAACAACTGAATAAGTGTTTTGTTTGCTTGTGCAGTGAAAAACAACTGTAGCTCACATTTAAAAGCCAGAATGTTTGAAATTTTAAATCAGGATGTGCTGCTTCTCTCGATAACTGAAAATCTGGCAACATTAAGCCCACAGTTTTGCAAGGCAGGCATGGTGCACCCAGTTAGTGGCAAGTTCACCAAAGCTCTGTGAAAGACACGTGCCCTTACAGACAGCACCCCGCTCCTTGCCCAGCACCCATGTGAGTTTGCCACTCAGCACGTTGTGTTCAATTTATAGAATATATCAAGACCAGATACGAATGAGTTTCCTTACACCTTTGAAGCTAATTCTTTACATTGGTAGAGCAAAGGCAGAACGCTTCAAGGCTTCAAAGTTCTTGGGAAATGAGAAAGAGTAAAATAAAACTTTTAACAGACAAAGGCCCTTCTCTCCTGGCTCATTCATATTTTGTTGTCAAAATTGTTGTCCAGCAGAGCCTATGACTGCTTTATGCACCTTAATGGTGATAACTAACATATATGAAGTCCTTCAATCTGACGTGTAGAATATTTTTCTTTTGAAAGTTTCAAATAGCTCTTAATTATGGACTGTGAGGCTTTTCTCTCCTCAGCTTCTAGCTGGGTCTTCTCAATTCTGGATAATAAGCTGTGACTGCATGAACTTGAACAGTTTTTCCCAGAGGAAGGCATTTTGCAAGTGGACCTTTTGACATGCAATCTCATAATGTTGTCTTTCACTAGAAAAAAAATACGAAAAGGAACTATTGATTAAAATACTCATTGGAAATTAAGATATGACTTAATGTGGGGAGATTAATGTAATTCAAATTATTTTGAAAAGTGTTCTCTATAATCTTAAATGAATAAAGTTTCTTTGTATGTAAGGCTCTGCCTCTGTCTGGGAGCAATCTTCATTTTGTTTTTGCATTACTTTGCATAATTTTATCTTGGGGAAATTTGTGTCACTTTTAATCTCCTCTTTGCTGTAGCTTATGCTACTTTTAAAAGTGGATTGTTTGCCATAAAATTGAAGCTAAAATCCTATATCCCCACATTTTTTTCTTAGAGAAAAATTTCAGTCTGATCATTAAAAGAATTATAAAGTCTAAATTTTCATTAGTGAATTCCTCTCAAAACACAGTATGAATTAGTCAATAAAAGAATTTGAGCCCAGAAATACATATTCATAAGGTTTTTTCTGATTTAATGTAAATTATATTCACGCATATAGACAAATTTACAAGAAAGGTGAGAAAAATATGGAGCAGAACCTGGAAAATAAGGCAGATGAGAAAGTCTAAAATATTATAAGTAAAATTGACTAAAGTAACCAAGGCTAAAGTGATGAGTTTTGTCACAGAACATTCAAGACAGGAAGTAAGCATTCATAGTTCTCTGTTTCAGGAGCCCTCTGACAATGTAAGCAAGAATGAGACCAGAGGTATAAGTTCTGTCTCTAGCTCTACCCAATTCTTAGCTGTGCGTCTCAGAGCCTCACTTTCCCTGCTTTTTCAAAAGGGCAGTTGGGCCAGATATCCATGGAGGCCTCCCAGCTATAAAACACTAGAGACTTGTTTCCTGTCTACATTCTAGAGAGTAGAACCATCCTCTTTATCTGAGCAACCTTCTGGATACTTACATATTTGTGCTTCTGGCCTGGATTTGGGGATTTGGGCAATACTAGAGGTTCCCGATAACCTCTAGTACCTTCATGGGGTAGCCCATATTTTGAAAGCAAAACTCTGAGCAAAACCTCTTTCCCTATTCACATCATAGTCACTCTTCTTACTGCAGAAAAACTTTACAGAGGGAGGGTAATCAGAGATTGTTGGGGTAAATTGATAGCAGCCATAGACCGGGTTTCAGAAGTGAAAGAGAGAAGTCGTATGTCTGCTTGTTGTGTTATTACAGACAGCATCTGGTCCACCGTTGTTCTACTGATGCTGGACAGTTTGCATTACTGCCATCCGTGCTTGTCAGGGGCTACTCGTCTTCTCCGTCACATTCCTACCCGTTGGGAGAGACTGCCCAAATCACCAGGCCAAGAACAGACACTTCTAAACAAAAGTCCTTACTCCATAGGACACCAAAGAGAAGAGCCAGGCAAACAAGAGGTCTTTCTAATCTTGCTGTCTGATTTGCAGAGGCTCCAATTTACTCCAAATCATGTGGGAAACACATTATGTCTATGGTGTTTGCTAACACCCTGTTGTGTGGAGAAATACTTTTCTCTGTAGTACCTAGTCTCTAAAACCTCCTCTCCAAATAATCTGGAGAGAAACTCCTTATGACAAAACATTAAAAGCTGTCAGTGAAATTTTCTTGTATGTTTCCGTCTTTTTCTTGTGCACACTTCACTGAAAGAGTACAGCCGGTCAACAAAGCTATTTATGTCATAGATAACTTCTCTTTAGGGTTCTCCAAAATTCTTTATGGTGTAAATAAGCCATAGGCATGATGACTGCCTGTCTTTCTTTGGCCTGATTACTTGGAGTGCATGTTTGGTTGGCTGTTTATGAAATCTTCTATTACCCAAGCCTGTTGACTGATCCATCATTCTCTGACTAGGTATCTGTTCTCTCTTCCTTTTTGCTGATCACAGAGGCGCAGCCCGGTAAGAACTCTCAACATTTTTACCTTAAACATGTATCGAGAAAATTGTTGTCAAGGCAGGGTGGCCAGGTTTGGCTTTCCATTAAATTTATGATAACCCAATATGAATGAAGCAGATGAATTAGATTTACTGGTTGGAAGCCATTAGCCATAGTCAAGATATTTTAGGACTATCAGAGCACTTTTTAATAACAAACTAAATTTATATGTAAGTATCCCAACCCTAGTGCTAAATTTAAAAAATATTTGTGTGCATGTGTGTGCGTGTGTGTATGCAGGTGTGCATGTGTATGTGTGTGCATGCAAGGCCTGGAGATTGGCCAGAAAGCACCATAGAAGTTTACAGAAAAGTGATAATAAAGAATAAGAAAGCTATGAAGAAAGTTTTTTAAGCTACATAGTTTTAAAGCCTGAATTTGAAGTAAATTCCTGGACCATAATCTATGTTGGTCAGTATACACTGATACATAATAATATATAAACATAATTTCTATCTTGGGAGGAAGAGACATGTTTTCAAGTCAATACTAAGCTATTACATAATTATGTATTTCATCACTGAAGACAAATCAGTATTAGTTTGCATTGCTCAAAGTGAAAAATCAGCTACTTTTCTCAGGTTGAAAAGTGTGATGTATTTAAAGTAACAAAGAAGGGTCTTTGCCTTGTTTGAAATGACCCCCATCTGCCTTGAGAGAGGAAATGGATCTGAAACCAGCAGCCTCTGAAGTGCCCACTGTGACTACAAGCCAATTTGATTAATTGGTTATTATTTGGGGCCAATACTCTGGCCCCGGGTGACGAGCTGGTGGTTCTTTGTTTAAATCACATGCTGATGATCAAAGATAACACCTCCAGGGGCTGCTATTCAGGTGTGGATGATTCCTACCCAGCAGTTAGGTGACATCTGAGATTATGACAAGTTACTCTTTTTTTTTTTTTTAAGGAAAACAAGGGGACTAACTAATTCAAAATAAAGGCAATTTATTCACAATCTACATGTAAGGACAATCATTGAAAAGAGGAAAATGTGGTCACTTGGAAAGGAGAAGAGTTTTTAACTCAATGGGCTTTCTCCTGAATGTGGTCTGTGTGGTCGACATAACCTTAACCTTGTTCTAGATTGCCTTGCTGCAACTCCAAGGCCATCACAGAGCTGTATGCTGGATCCAGCTGACAATGGGACTTTCTTTTCTGTTGCTGCTGATTTGCTGCTGAGCATTCGAATATCTGTTCCTTTCTAAATTGATATTATTTTATTCTTCCTAATTTCTAAACAGCAGAGTTTTCTTGCCTATCTCTACCACATCTTGCTTGCACTTAACTGGTGTTTGTTCATTTATGAGGAGTATTTAATAAACATGTTACAGAGGCTTCTTGTTTACTGCCTCTCAAAATGAACACCTAAGTAATGAATTGATACACCCAGAACCGACGAATACAAAAGAAGCTTAGTACCTTGTTTTGTTTCATGAGTATTACATTTTTAATAAAAGAGGTAGGATAGAGAGACCAAAAGGTCTTCGATACAACCTCTGGGCTCCCCTGTCTCTTGGGTTTCAGGTCTCACAATTCCAGGAGAATCCTGTTCCCTCAATGCCAACCTTGTGATTGCCTACTTGGAAGTAGAGCCTGATATCTTTACTTCAGACCCATAAAAGTCTGACTCTCTGAGGTTCCAAAGCCTAGAACAACATTTTAATTCCATTTAGGCAATTTGTTCTCTTGTTACTTATGTCTATGGAGTCTTAGTTTCCAAAAGCCAATTTGTATCCAAATTCCCATGATGACTGTAGCTGATTTAAATGGCCATATTTAATTTAAATGTTTATTAATTTTAAAAAACATGTTAACTTAATCAGACATATTAATTTTAAATGCCCATTTATTAAAATAAATAGAACAAGTCTCTATTTTAAAAACCTTTACTAACAATGGAATAATTCCCTATAATAATGGCACATACACACAGATTGTATTATTAGGCAAGAGAAGTCAGGAAATACAGAGTGAAAGATTGAACCATTTGTTAGAACACATCTAGTGAAATCATGCTCAGATTGAAACTGCTCCTCTACCATAAATGAGTTCAAATCAAGACAGAAAATTCTGTGAAATCCATAGGAAGGAAGGTAAGAAGTGTCTTCTGGATCTGTTAATAGAAGGCACTACATCTGGTCCTGCACTGTTCATGTTATTATTCGAGAGAAGAGAACGTATCTGTGACCAGCCACCAAACACATGGTCACATCCTTTGGAATACTTTCCTATACTTGCACTCTCCCCTTCCCCCGCTCTGCGCCCCTCATTCTCCTAAGGTAGGCCCTTCCAAGTCCATGATGCCACACTTTCAGAGCTCTATTTTTCTGGTAGCACCCCAGGCTAAGAACCTTTCATCTCAGTTTTGAATCAGAACTTTTTATGTAATCAGTCTTTCTGTTATCAGAATAAGTTTCTGCTAGGGTATTATAAAAACTAGACCATACCTTCTCCAAGGTGTGCCAGGGCTGTTTGCATTCTTATAGAATCACAATGCCTTGAGCTAAAGGAATGACTTTCAACTGGTGGATTGGTGGTCCCTATGGCAGACAAGTGAAAGAAATGGAGGTGGGAAGGGCAGTTGGGGAGAATAAAATTACCTGGCGCCCTGATTAAAACAGCCCATTCAGCGACAATGTCTCCAAGTTTTCCTTCCCTTTAACATTTGCTACTTATACCTTTAAAAATTACTTGCTGCTTATACCTTTAAAAATTACATTAGTAAGCTATTGACTGTTTTTACTAACAACATATGGACCTCCCTCACCTTAATAAAAACAGACAATACTCCTAATACATTCTATAATTTTCAAACATCAAGCATATGCTAAACTTGGATTTGTTTTTCTGATAGACGTCAAGGTTGTTTTTTTAATTGAGCTATTCAATATTTGCTTAATTTACCAAATCTATGCAGGTAAGGGATTTTTCTGGTTCAGAAGACTTATAATTTACCCTTCCTTTCTCTCTCTAAACCTTGAGTAAAATTAAAAACTGATGTGTGTGTGTGTGTGTGTGTGTGTACAATTTCCAACTTGAATGCAATTCTGAGAAAAATTTCATTTTTCCCATCTGCATTTCTGAGTACAGTTTGATTGCAATGACAGAAATATACATATTGTACATAACATATATGTGGTCTTAAACCTTATAGTGTCTATTTCTAATTCTAGGGTGCAATTAAAAGGAACTTATCCAGTAAGTATATCCTAGCTACCAGAAATAGAGTAACGTTTAAAAGAAGAAATAGTTCCTTGGATCTCGCAGTATATATATATGTTTACATTTCAATTATACACTCTTGGGCTTGATTTTTAAGGCTTACAAATGTTTTACTTTTACAGCAAAGAAATCTTATAATGACAAAGGGGCCTGGTGGGTCCTGAATAATTAATATTAAAGTTCTGAAGATGAATATGGTTTTGGAAAAGCATTGCTACTTTCTTCTTATATTTGTCAACTTTTGCTGTATCATTTGACTTTAGAAATGAATTTAATTAAGCGTGTTTGTTGATGGGGGTGGGGAGAGGAGAGGAACAGAAAGAACTGAAGGTAGATGCAACTTACCCATTCATAATGTTATCTGATATAAAAATTTCAGTCACCCAAAGTGATATGATACAAGTTATAATATATGCAGGGCTTGATTTTCCTCTGCTACATATAACATATTCTAGGGAATTCTAAATTCAGGGCTGTTAGTTAAAGATATAACATTTTCTTGGCATTTCAAGAAAAGAACAGGCAAATAATGCTGGATTCCTGTACTATGTACATATGGCCTGGCTTAGTATTCTCTTATGGTAATTGGGAGGCAGGACTGCTCAAGGCGGCAGACATTTGAAGAATGGTAGGCTATTCTGCTAAACTCTGCAGTGTACAACTCTTCTGTTTGACAGCTTATCATGGTAATTCCTTGGTTAATTAGGTTTTGCAAATGCCAGATAAAATGCTACTACATATGTCTGATATGTGGCTGTTGCATTGCCGGGGTAGATGGTTTGTTTTGTAAAATTTTCATATTGAGTTGCTTATTGGTGGGATGTAAATCTCTAAGTGTTTCCAAACATAGCTCAGAAGATGTATAAGAAAGGAATAGTAAAAATATGCCTACAAAGTTTCTTTGTCCTGTACATCAGGTGAAGAAGTGGCAAGACCTAGGCGTTCCACACCAACTCCAGAACTTATGAGGTGAGCATTGAAGACATTAGCTGTGTTTTATATAAGGTGTCACCCATTGTCAACAATTAAGCAGATCTCTTTTAGGCTAAGCTTTCAACTTCTATTAATAAAGGGCCTGTTTGTATGTGTCAGTCCATAGCATGATTCAAGGATATTATCATTTCTCACAAGTACAGCCTGAGGGAGACACTTACAGAAGAACTGTATAGTCATCTAAAGTGACTATAAGAATGTGAAGACCCCTCACTAATGGGAAAGTTAAAGTCTATATGAACAGATCTTTTGATGATTGGAATGCTGATATGATATATGATTATATGTCCCTATGAAGAATAGCCTATTTAGTTGGCTTCAATTTCGTGATACATTCCACCTGTCATACACCAAAAGAATCTATTTTGCTTCTTGGTTTTTGGCAAAATGCTGTATTTTGCATTGTCTATTCTTTGTGTTAAGTATGGTACAAACAGGCATTGTTTTCCAAAAAGACTACTATTTTTATTTAAAAGCTGGATTCGTTTAATTTTTCCCTCCTTCTCCTGGCCCCCTTCCAGTTCCCCTCTTACTCCCACTGCACACACAGAACTTATCAGATCCGGGAGGGGAATCGGGTCTAGGAAGAAATGAAGATTATGCAGCCTTCTGTCAATAATCATTTTAAGTAATAATTAGGAGAAAGGATAAGAATTTTACTCATTTCCTCCCTTCTTCTTGATTCTCAATGTTCTTCTTTTTCTGATATGTGCTGTATATTTAAGGTATTAGGAGGTTATAACTAGTCTTTGTGAATGTGTTGGTTGGGGAAAGAGGATGGAAATTAGAAACTAGTAGGACCTAATTTCATATTCAAACACAAACTTCCTGGGTGACTTGTCATTTAACCTCCCTTTGCAGGACTTTCATAATCACAAACCGCATTAACTTCAATACAGAGATGTGATGCAGACAAATAAAAATGGTATTCAAGATCTGAAGAGACTAAATGCTTTGCAATAAATTCTTATCTCTCATATTATCTCTTCTAGGTATAGAAAATCATGATGACTTGAAAGAGTTTCTCAACTTCTTTCTAATGGACCATTATATTGGTACTCCAGTGAGAACTAGGGGTCTTATGTCCCGCCAATTCTCGTGTCCATACTAAATCTGACATTCTTACATATACTTTCTGGCCCCCTAGGAGCTTGTATACATGCACACATATGTACACAAATACAAACACACATAATCTGCTTACCATGAAAAATATTTGAGAACTTGCATACATTTTAGCATTAATATCCCCTTTCTCTATCTTTTGTTTTAATGGGTGTAATTTAGCAAAAAGCCTCCAGATGACACTACGGCCCTTGCTCCCCTCTTCGGTCCTCCATTAGAATCAGCTTTTGATGAACAGAAGACAGAAGGTAGGAAAAACGTGGATCTTTATAGATTTTTCTTTTCATTAAAGTATAACTTACCTAGAGGAAAGGCATGTGTTTTGAGCTATGTACCATCAGAGCCTCACGTGAAAGAAAAGTTCTGATCCAGGTGTGCTGTGAGGACAAGAGTTTCATTTGCAAACCTCTAGTATTTTAGGATTTGAAACTTTGCTTCTGGAAATATCAAATAACCGACAAGTTCACTCCTCAAAAGTGGTCAGTAAGGATTACTGCAAATCTAAACAAATCACTGGGAATAAGTTAGGGAATAAGTGCTCTGGGGGCCAAACAGTCATCGTTGTGGACCCAGACCTTAAACTTCCTGTCACAGTCACTGTCACTGTGATCTAGCCTCTCTGACCACATTTGCTCTCTTCACCTCGTCAACAGAGGTGTCAGTTGGATTGCTCACTGCAGACTTGCTTGTAGGCTCAAGACCCAGGAATGACCTTGAATCATGGAGCAACTTAGAAACAAAATGCTGTGGAAAAAAATATCAACTCAGCCATTATTATCGGGCTTACCCATTAAACATTTATTCCTAGAATTGAATATTTAACGTTTTGAAATTAACCATCTTTTTTGGATGGCTATAAATAATGTATACTTGCAGACATAAGTGAAATGTTTTATAAAAGGGGTCTAATCTATTCCTGAAATGTATTTATATCCAATGCATGTATTTCCAGTAGCTGTGTTTGGTAATATGGGATGTTTTATTTTAAAAAATCATTTGGTTTAAAAGCACTATGGTATACATATAATAAAATGTTATTTTTTATACCGTTGGGCAAAGAAATCAAACTTAACTGTTAAGGACAATAGGACTTGAAAGCATAAGGAGTAAACTAAGGTATTGTAACAGAGACTCCAAAATATAGGGAGTTAAACAATATAGAATTTTATTTCTGTCTTATGTAAACAATGTAAACAATACAGGACTGGTAGGGTGGTTCTGCTATTCTCAGTATGTGGCCTTCATCCCTAGGTCCATGGGAGCTGCTCCAGCTCTCATCATCCCCCAGTGAGAATAGAGAGGGGGCGGGGGACAGGGAGGACCAATGGGACTCACTGCCAATTCTCCTGAAAGCAAAATCTGGAAGAGACGCGCATCGCTTTAACCAGAGCCAATCAGAGAGAATTTAGTGCCATATGGCCCGCTAGAATTTCTTTTTTTTTAAATTTCTTTAATGTTTTATTTATTTCTGAGAGAGAGAGACAGCGTGAGCAGGGGAGGGTCAGAGAGAGAGGGAGATACAGAATCAGAAGCAGGCTCCAGACTCTGAGCTAGTGGTCAGCACAGAGCCCGATGCGGGGCTCGAACCCACGAACCGTGTGATCATGACCTGAGCTGAAGTCGGATGCTCAACTGACTGAGCCACCCAGGCATCCCTAGAATTTCTTATGTATAGAAGAAATGGAGAATCGATACTGGAAGACCGCTAGCAGTCAACTGCATCGAAATATGTTTCAATGATGTACTTAGGAAAATGCATAAGGAATATACCTAAATTCCCTTTTAGGTATTTAAATGTCTACAACTTAGAATCCCTAATCAAGGTGGCCTTGTGATGGTTATCAGTTGTCTTATTAACTCAACTATGATCAATTTTGCTTTTAATGACATAAGTGTGTAGTGACTAAAGGTGGGATTTGGTTTGTTACATCTGAATCTACCTATTAAAGGAATCCCATAACTGTATGGAAACCTGATTTACAAAATAGAACACAGTTCTTTTAAAAAAAAAGTTTATTTATTTTGAGAGAGAGTGTAGGGAAGAGGTAGAGAGAAAAGGAAAGAGAAAATCCCAAGCAGACTGTGTGCTGTCAGTGCAGAGCCCATTACAGAGCTCCATTTCATGAACCATTAGATCATGACCTGAGCTGAAAGCAAGAGTCGGTCGCTTAACCTACTGAGCTACCCAGGTGCCCCTAGAAAACAGTTCTTAAAAAATCGAGGTGGTGTCCCACATCAAATCCATGAAAAAAAAAATGTGGCTTCATGTCTTTGGAGAATGTATGCTTTCATATTAAAACAAAATATAACTAAGACCATCTTTGTGTTTATTGTGGAGAGGAGAGACATACTTGAACTTGTCCATGAGCCTAGCTTGCATTTTCTTTTTTAAAAACTTTTAAAATGTTTATTTATGTTTGAGAGAGAGAGAGAGATAGAATGCGATTGCGGGTGGGGCAGAGAGAAAGGAAGACACAGAATCCAAAGCAGGCTCCAGGCTCTGAGCTATCAGCACAGAGCCTGATGTGGGACTTGAACTCAGGAATGGCAATATAACGACCTGAGCTGAAGTTGAACACTTAACCAACTGAGCTACCCAGGTGCCTCTGACTTGCTTTTTCTTGAAGTGGTTTCATCCCTCCAAAGTTCTACAAAATTCCAGCATTTGCCCAAGCACACTCTGCTCTTCCAATATCTACACTTACCTTCTATATCTACTCACTCTCATTGCATTTCATTAATTCTTCCATCACTAACTTATAAGGCCTGGGGGTAAAATTTGTATTGTGGAGTCGGATGTGCACACCCAGGATCGGATTTCAGATCCTCTGTTTCACCAGGTAGCTCTTGGGCACGTTATTTAATCCTTTAATCTTTACTTCCTCTACTGAAAAAGGCGCTAATCAACCACAGAGCGGTGTTGTGAGGATTAGAATATTTAATAATATTCTGGGGCGCCTGGGTGGCTTAGTCGGTTGGGCGTCCGACTTTCGCTTGGGTCATGATCTCGCGGTTCGTGGGTTCGAGCCCCGCGTCGGGCTCTGTGCTGACTGCCAGCTCAGAGCCTGGAGCCTGTTTCGGTCTGTGACTCCCTCTCTCTCTGACCCTCCCCTGCTCATGCTGTCTCTCTCTCTCTCTCTCCTAGAAATAAATAAAAAAAACATAAAAAAAATGTTTAAAAAAAAAAAGAATATTTAATAATATTCTGGCCTTGTGATAAGTGTGCTATATGCATTTTGTATACGTTTAATTTATATGTATTATCTCCTGTAATCCTTTTAGTAACTCTCAGATTGCTTTTATTATCTCTACACGGAAGGAAAGGAAGCTCTGAGGTGAAACGAATGGCCCAAGTTCCTACAATCTTAGAGGCTGGATTCAAATTCATATCCCTCTAACTTCCCAGCCTGTGTTTTACAACATGATGAATTACAGGCAGTCTTCCATAGATCCTGGCACATGATATGTACAGAGAAGGCCTAGTTGTTTACATTGTTACCATAGCAATAAAAAAAAATCTAAACAAGGAGACAGAAGATATGGAAGCAACGTTAGGTTCAGTGTCATTAGGCCCAATATCTAACTTCAGGTGTTGAGGCCCTTGTTTATTTTTTGGTTCTCTTAAGATATTTACCAAACACGTTTAGAATAATTTCACTTCTTTTTAGGATGCCGTAAAAGGTTTATTTAAAGACCCTATGTGATCCTTTAAAGATATGAACCACTCTCCAGAACCCAGACATTTACAGTTTTGAAGCATACTCATACCAAACTTTAAATAAACCAACTTGAAATGAACATGCATAGATGGGATTAATGCCTGGATCTTCAAATGGGTGCCCAAAACAGAGCCAGTATGTGTACTGACATTCAGAATGTCCTTAAGTGACCAACCAGGAAGAAAATGCTGATGCTATATTTTGAAAGATTTTATTTAGCTATGTGTGCACACACAGACACCTCACCATCACCACACACATACACACACACACACACACACACACACACACACACACATCCCACTGCCATTTCCATTCTTTGCTTTAAAAGCAGTGAGAAACAACACATTTCTAAATTACTTTGCTAGGACTAAGGTAAGAGGGAGATAATTTTGTGAAACTCATCTTTAAATTGAAATTTTAAGCTCTAAAATCCAGGAATGTTTCTTTTTTGTACTCACCCTGGGAAATTTTTTTTTTATGTTTCCAGTTCTTTTAGATCAGCCTGAGATATGGGGTTCAGGCCAACCAATTAATCCAAGCATCGAGTCGCCAAAGTTAACAAGGCCTTTTCCCACTGGAAGTAAGTTATGTGTCTGCTCTGTCTGGAAAAATAAGTGACTCATTTTACTGTCTGTCGGCATAGTAAAATTAGGCAACTCTTAGAAAGTACATAAGCAACATTTGGATTATATAATATTAAGAAAAGATGTTATTCTTTTTTTAAGTTTATTTATTTTATTTTAAGGGAGAGAGAAGGAGAGAGAAAGAGAGAGAATAAGTGGAGGAGGGGGACAGGGTGGGGAAAGAATCCCAAGTAGGCCCCATGTTCAGTGCAGACTGACATGGGACTCGATCCCACGACTGCGAGATCATGACCTGAGCCTATATCAAGAGTCAGATGCTTAACTGAGCCACTTAGGAGCCCCAGAAAAGAGATTATTCCAGTAGGCTTCAGAGTTAAAGGAGTCTAGGACACTTTGTCAAGGCAGGAATAATATAGCAAAATTATTAACTTTGAATCACAGCCTCTTCTGACATCGTACAGGCTTGTTCATTCATTCATTCAATGTGCATATAGAAGAGAGAGAAGGAAGTAAGCTAGAGAATCTATCCTACTCCAGATACTGGGCTATCACACAACACAGAAGTGAACAAGTCAGATAGTCTCTGCTAGTCTTATAGGACAAGGAGGATGCACAGAACAGAAAGGACACATTGAGAAGAAAGAGGGATAATTGGAGAGCAAGACAAATGGTGCTATTTGGTGGCAAGCTGAGGAAGGAGGTCAGGGCAAACTTGTCTTAAAGCAGGGCCATCAATGATGCTGCCCCAGCATGCCCCCTACCTTTCCCGTCCTCCTGAAGATGCTGATAGCCCTTCACCTGTGGTGGGCTGAGCTATTGGGCCTAGATGGCTCGCTCATTTGGTCAAGCCACCCACTTGATGGATTTCTTGAGTTCTCATTTCAGTAAACTTCTCATAGCATATGTGCTTGTGGAAAGCACTCCTTAAAATGCCTGTGGGAAGAAAATTGAGTCTCAGAGAAAGATGTTTGGTGGTGAGATGGGAGGCAGAGAGTATTTTCCCTTTGTGGGAAATTAATACTATATATATACCAATTAATACTTTACCAGTTCAGCCTTTCCAGGGCTCTGCATTATAGGTCCTAAAACTAATCACAGGAATCATCCAAGGAAATTCTTAATCAAAGTCCCAGAGTTTGCTGGGGACAGTGCTATAAAACCAGGTGATTCGATCTTTCCAAGAATACTTCCCTCATAAAACAGGATAGGAAAAACAGCATCACCAATAACTATTTTAAACACCTAAACTTTCAAAGATGTGTTTTTGAAAGAATTTGAACCCCAGTGGTGTGATTTTGAACGTTTCTCTATGCTACTGGGAAACAAAGCCAGTGAAAACGCTCTAACTTCCTTGAAAAGCTTCCTTTAGAAACTGAGCCATCCAGCTTATTTCTAGAAAACCTTTCCTAGATGCCAAGAACGTCCATAAATGAAATGTTTATGTAGATGATGTATTGACTTTAAAACCAATTATTGACATTTTTAGAGTTTTATGAGTTTTGTGTTCTGCGGTTACACTTAGCACAGCAAAGGCTGTTGTATAATCGATATGTATTGTATAATTTTGCTTGTTTCACGGTTGCAGCATAAATTTGTTATTTTAAATTATTAGACATTTATGGTATTTTGTGTATTTTTATTGATTATGATCTCAAATTTTGCAGAGGATCTTAATCAAAACCAGAGCCCTTGATGGACTTTCAGCTTCTGTAGAAAAACATGATCCATTTGAGGTGTCGTTTTCAGAAGCTCATAACTAAACCGTGTATTTCTGGGCTTTTAGGATGGTAACTGTTAGCCATGGCTGTTGTACAGAAAGATGGATGCTCTCTAAAATTAAATGAAATCAAGTGAGGGTGGAATGACAGAAGAGGGGCTCTTTCTAATGCAGGCAGGGAGAGGGTACTGTAAGAGCTCTCCAGCTAGGACCCAGCTGACCCACTCTGCTTTTAGGTTATGAAAGATTGGGCAACCTTCAGATTCACAAACCAGTTGGGGCTGGTTTATGAGATTAGTGTGAGCTCTGAATCTACTAAATGCAGTGGGTGACAGGAAAACATACATTTAAAGAAAGAATAAAGAGCTCCTGGGTGGCTCAGTCAGTTGAGCGTCAGACTTCACTGTGAGTTCAAGCCCCACATCAGGCTCACTCTTTCAGCACCGAAGCTGTCAGTGATCTGTTCCCCCTCTCTTTGCCCCTCTGCTGCTCACACCCTCTCTTTGTCTCTTTCCCAAACATAAATAAACATTTTTTAAAAAGAAATAAAAGAATAAGAAAAAAAATATACCTGTTGAAATAGTAATCCCTAACTTTGCCCACAAAATGACAAGTACAGTTCAGAAGGCTAAATAATCGCTGGGTTTGGGAGGTAATACAACGCTTTTTCTATCTCAGGGGTATTGTTTACCCATAATTTTTACCAAGAGAATCTTTGTATTCTTCCTTGCAAATCATATTGCTTCAGACTTTTAAAAATATCTAAAAATTTAAGATGTATAACTTTCTTTTGAGGGGGGAGAGAGGAAAAGGGAGAAGAGAGAAAATGTTAAACAGGCTCTGTGCCCAGCATGGAGCCCGATCTCACAACTGTGAGATCATGACCTGAGCCAAACTTAAGAGTTGGACACAACTGACTGAGCAACCCAGGCACCAGTAAGATGTATAATTTTGAGAAATCTTTCCAGACTCAACCTGGGCAATACTATCTTGACTATCTTGACTATCTTCACCCCTCACTTGAGCCTCTACCAAGATAATTCTTATTCCTCAACCATACCCTGGATTGTAATCATCTGTTAACATGATATTCATTCATTCAATCATAAATTCCTTGAGGACAGAGGCCCTTTTATTTACCCTTCTGCCCCTAGTTCCTAGTACAGGATACAGAACTTTATTGGTGCCTGAAGTTTGTCAAATAAAGGAATGAATAGGGGTGCCTGGGTGGCTCAGTTGGTTAAGTGTCCGACTTCAGCTCTGGTCACGATCTCACGGTTTGTGGGTTCGAGCCCCGCATTGGTCTCTGTGCTGACAGCTCGGAGCCTGGAGCCTGCTTCAGATTCTATCTCCCTCTCTCTCTGCCCCTTCCCCACTTGTTCTCTGTCTCTTAAAAATTAATAAACATTTAAAAAATTTTTTAAAGGAATGAAAAAATAAAATGATGACATTATTACTATTTGACATTTTTTTGACAAATTCTTATTATCATAAAACAGAAGAATCTGAATAGGTCCTACTTCAGTTTTGTAGCTTTGAACTTAGACATATGCAGACCATTAATGGTTATAGTATATCCAACAGCAGGAATATGAGTGGAAGCGCACATGCTGCTGGCCTGAAGAATACTGTGCAATTTAAGGGAGAAAAGGATCAATAATGTTTGGCATCTGTGTCTTTGCAGCACCTCCACCACTGCCTCCCAAAAATGTACCAGCCACCCCACCCCGAACAGGCTCCCCGCTAACAGTTGCACCAGGTAAGCTTCTGTTTTTCCTGTTCTGGGATGATACGGCCGTCAGCAGTGACCCTGGACCTCAACATGGATGTGTCAGAAGCTGTAGGCACTAAGCATGAAAATGTTTGCATTTAAAGTATCACCTTCAGGTTTCACAAAACAGTTCTCTTTCTCAACTAATTTTCCCTCTGTCTCATTTTGTTGAATGAAAGCCACGTTTCCCTGTGAAATGAAAGAAAAAAAATCTCAATATCAAAAGTCCTTGTTTAATTGGCATGTCACTTCATTGGATCTCATTTTAATGATTTACAGATTCAAAATCTCAAGGCATAATCGTATTGTCCCAAGAAACAATATTTTTTTTCTAGAATTAAAACTACAAATTAAAACTATGTCTAGTCTACTAAGACATAGAATGGCTCCCAGGATGTGCAGCATATGGGTAAGCTTGGGAGGTGGGAGATTTTTTTCCCCCAGTAATCCTGGATAACACCATGGCAAAGAGAGGTGTAAGGATAATGAAATATGGCCAAGGAATTGCCTGCCACATGACTTTAGACAGATTATTTGTAAGGCACATTTTACCTTCTATTAAAATCACTACTACATATTCATGGGATTTATAATCTATTACTGAGCTAGCAAGTCAAACGCAGTAATTGCTATTTTACATGTCTGGACCCTTAGAATATGATTCTTTATCACCTTTGGAATTCTGTTACAGCTTCATCCTTTGCTATTTATGCAGCCTGGTGAGCTTGATAGTTACAGAGTAGGTATTTATCAACAAGACCAAGTGCAAGGTATAGTCCTTTTTGAAATTTATATTGATTAAAACCCAATGAAGAGTCATCCAGAGTGTCATAGGTAAAGGTGTTTCCAAGTTCAAATCATTTTGGCTCCTTGTATTACCAGTAAATCTGTTAGAGACAAATAACTCTACCAGTGACAAAATTATAAATATTGTGGGACATGCAAACTGCTACCCCATTTATCTGTGGTCATGGAACCTTGCAGGTTAACATTTTCAAACATGAAACATGGAAGTACTAAGCCAGTTCTTAGAGCCAATGTCTTCTTTAAAGATAAAGTTCCTTCTGTTCTTGCCTCACAATTATTTGGGAACAGTTTCTAATTTCAATGGATTTTCAAAAGTGCACTTCCTCACAGTGCCGTTTTTACCAAGCATTCCTTATCAAGCTGCACAAGATAGTTTTCATTTTTTTCCCCTTTATTACTGGTAAGAATGAAATGTTTAGGCCAGAGACTTTCTGTTTCATGACTCTGGATGGATGGATCTCACAGTAATGACTACAAAGTTAACAGGTTGGACTTGATGAGAAAAGAAATTATAAAGATGTTTTTGTAATTTTCCTCCCTGTTAAGCAAATATATACGTAATAGTTCTAATAAGTAGTAAATGTCTTCTCAATGACCTGTATGTGTTGTATGTGGGGTGTATATGTGTGTGTTTGTAAATATATATGTGGGGATAGTCCTTTAAATAATCTTTGTACTGTGTTTCTGATGTATTTAGGGTAGAGGATGTATAGCTAATTATGATACTTTTTTAAACTAACAGGTATTAATAGTTTCACCAAACATTTGAATATGCTCGAGTAGACAGTCTTTCTCAAATATGAGGGTGATTTTCAGCTATCCAAAATTTTTCTACCCTATTGTCTATATTTCAGTAGGCCAGACTTTCAGAAGGGACCTCCCTTCTGGAATGTGGTTCCAGAGACTATACTCTGTGAGCCTTCTCAAAGTGCAGGCTTTTCAAAGTGATCACACTTGGCACTCTTGTGAGCAGCCTTCGAGAGCGGCAGCACGCTCAGCGCTTTCAGAGGTGGTAAAAATAGCTAACTGGGGTCACCCAGCAAAAAGGGTAAAATAACAACATAAAATGACGATGCTCACATTATGGAGGTGGGGAACTCTCTCCTCCCCTTCAACTCTGATCTAGTTATTTTGACTGCTCACAAGGCAATCTATTTACTCTTCCTTACCTCACCCCTCCCACCCCTACCCCATACAAATAATATTCACAAACTTAATTAAAGTTAAAAATCAACTACTTTAACCACAGGAAGTGACCAGTCAGCCACAGAGGTCAAAATTGAAAAACTACCATCAATCAATGACTTGGACAGCATTTTTGGCCCAGTGTTGTCCCCCAAGTCTGTTGCTGTTAATGCTGAAGAGAAGTGGGTCCATTTTTCTGATACGTCCCCGGAACATGTTACTCCAGAGTTGACTCCAAGGGAAAAGGTGGTGTCCCCACCAGCTGCATCAGACAACCCATCTGACTCCCCAGCTCCGGGCCCCCCAGGCCCTCCAGGCCCCCCGGGCCCCCCAGGACCCCCTGGTCCTCCTCGCAATGTACCGTCGCCGCTCAATTTAGAAGAAGTCCAGAAGAAAATCGCTGAGCAGACCTTCATTAAAGATGATTACTTAGAAACAATCTCATCTCCCAAAGATTTTGGGTTGGGACAGAGAGCAACCCCACCTCCCCCACCACCACCCACCTACAGGACTGTGGTTTCATCCCCTGGACCTGGCTCGGGCAGTGGTACGGGGACCACCAGTGGTACGTCTTACTGTTTGAGTGTGCTTCATGTGACTGGGAATGGCCATGGCTGCTGCAGTGTGAGCAACACCCTCCTCCTGCCTGGCAGCTGGCTTTAGAGCTTCAGCCATCCCTCCTTTAGTTTGGGTGTTCCGTGGCCCCATGGCATGTCCTAGTGCATCAAATGCTAACTGTCATAGTGCGAGTCTGTGGATGTGTTCTGCCCTGCGCTCCTAGCCCTTAGGAGTGCCCTGCTTTCCACCCTGCAGATAGGAAGTGTATGTTTTTTTAAAGGAAGCTGCTGTGTCATGGTTTGGGATTTAGGAAAGTTCTAGAAAGGCAGATTTCATAGCCAGTGAGTTTCATGTTAAGTGTATAATTTCCCTGTCAGATCCCTGTATAAGGGCCTTCATTTTTTAGTTTGTTTTGCTTTGTTTTCAGCTTTATTGGGTATAATTGACAAAATTGTAAGATATTTAAAGTATACAATGTGACTATATATATATATAGCGAAAGCCTTCTTCCCATCAAGTTAACTAACACATCACATATTTACCTTTTTAGGTAACATTTAAGTTCTACTCTCTTAGCAAATTACAATTATACTATATGGGGTTATCAATTTTATAATACAGCATTATAGTCTCCACATTATACATTAGATCCTCAGACTTTATTCATCTTATAACTGAAAGTTTATACTTTTCTTCCCAAGGGTCCTAATTTTGGTAGGTGAATGTGTCCTTTCTTCTACTTTTTTCTTTTTTGTTTCTTTCTTTCTTTCTTTTTTTTTGGAAGGGGAGAGCCATTAGCAATTAGAGTAATCCTTTTAATTACTTCAGAAAAAAGAAATAGGGTTTGAAAAGGAGATTTTAGGGGATGGCAAGAAGAATATGCCTTAGGGCATCCACAAGTTAGTCAAGCTGCCACTGAAAACAAATTATTTGCTGATTTTATTTTGATAAGCTCATCAGCCTATGAAGTCAACTTTAAGTATGGTGACAGGTGATGGAAAAGTCTATCAGAAATGTACATTTGGGTCTCTATATGCGAATGCTGATATTAATCTCATATTTTGGATTTCTTTATTTGAAGTTTTATAGGATGAGAACACCTGCCATGCAAACCAAAGACAGATCAAGATTTTCTAATGTATCTTTTTCCATAGTTTTTATTCCACCGGTGTTCACATTTATACAGTGAGAGCTTCGGCGCTCCCTCTGTGCTTGTGGGTTCGGTTGGGGCACCTTCTTGGAGGTGCCATGTGCTTTTTGCTTTTCAGTTGCTTTGGAAGAGATGACCAAGTTTATGCTATTTAGATCTAGTAAGAGACAGGAAGGAAAGGCATTTGTCTCTATTCTAAATGTCAGTTATTATTGCTGCCTCTTTTAATGAAGTAGTTCAGTGCTTGCTCTGTGTGTGAAAATTCCTATGCTTTAAGCATCCAAACTGATCAAGGAGAGGGCTGGAGATTCGCCTGTACCACACACAGGTGGTACAGGTTTATATCGATGTTTTACATCATTACATGTGCCCCATGTACCTTCCTCCACTAAAAAAGGAAAACTATTTGGTACTCAAATTAGTTTCAGGAACATTGTGTTAAAACAAAATCAGCAGGCTTTTTTTTTACTATAAGATTTCTGATAGCCTTTATTTTGCCAATAATAGCAGCTATAGTTTCTTCTCCTGGGTATCATCTTAATGCTTTAGGCACAGTATTTCGTCCATACAACAACCCCATGTGATAAATGCTCTTATTTCTCCTATTTTACAGATGGGAAAACTGAGGCTCAGAAATGTCAAGTAGTTTTCCCAGGTTTACACAGCTACAGGTGATAGACTTGGGATATTCAGTTATACTCAGGTCTATCTGATTCTGAACCTGTGTTCTTAACCACTGTGCTCTCCAGGCACTCTTTTAGGGTTTAGTTACAAAATATCCCAAAATTACTTGACCACTGATACCCACCTATACTGCACTGTGTCATCAACAAGGTCACCAAGTGTTTTCTTCCAAAACCCACTTCTCTGTGCTCCCATCTATGCTTCTACAGGGTTAGAGTAACCACTTCCATCCTCTGATGCTTTTTTAGATCACTTTTGGGATATAAGCCTCTTTACTTATCTGTAAAGGTAATAAAGGGACCCTAAGTAAAACTCTCAGTTCAGACCTCAAACCCACAGAAGCTGGCTGATCATTGTCTATGATGCTCTCTTTTCTGGGAGAGGCTCTCAGTCTTCTGAAAAGACCTCTAGAGGAATAACCCCCTCATTCCAGTGGTAGGCCACTGTGTTTTCCTCAAAATGGACATGATCAGGTGGGGAAAGGGAGGCCAAAGCAGTTTTGTTGCTCATCTATTTCTTCCATCCCCTTCCACAAGACTCTAGAAGATGTTTAATTGAATTGACCACTGATCTAATGAGTGAAGAAGGGAGCCTTGGTTTTCTTTCTGAAATTTTTGAGAATTTTATTGTCATCTTTACATTTAGCTTCCGTACCCTTATTTGAGATTATTTTCAAGTGTTACCAGTAAAGACTATTGATTCTTTTTTTAAAGCATTTATTTATTCATTCTGAGAGAGAGAGGGAGACAGAGATAGACAGCGCGGGGGGGGGGGGGGGGAGGGATAGGTGGGAAGACAGGGAGAGAATCCCAAGCAGGTTCTGCTGTTAATGCACTGCCTGACATGGGGCTTGGACTCACAAACCATGAGATCATGACCTGAACCAAAATCAAGAGTTGGACCCTTAACTGACTGAGCCACCCAGGTGCCCAAAAGACTATTGATTCTTAATGATGGAGCTAGATAAAAACTATACTTTGCTGGTATGAAAAGATTGAATTTAAAAAAAAATTTTTTTTAATGTTTATTTATTATTGAGAGACAGAGAGAGACAGAGCATGAAAGGGGTAGGGACAGAGAGAGAGGAAGACACAGAATCCAAAGCAGCCTCCAGGCTCCAACCGTCAGCACAGAGCTCGAGGTGGGGCTTGAACCCACGAGCCACAAGATCATGACCTGAGCTGAAGTCAGAAGCTTAACCAAACAAGCTGCCGAGGCACCCTAAAAGATTGAATTTTTAAGTGGAAGATTGAACTGGGTCAATGAACCTCATGAATAAATAAAAACTTTGCACCATTATCTCCATAATTAAGTCCCAGTTTATTTGCCATTTAATGTTTTATTGATGGAATATATACAGACTAGCAGAAATGTAAACTTATGATTAAAACAATGAGAGATGGCCTCATGTTTTAAATATTAGCAATGCTTCTCAAGACCTCTTTTTATAATACTTAGCCTGATGAGACTAGCTTTTCCTGTACATCTCAAACTATATTTAACTGGGTACCGTTATGCTTACTTTTTAAATTTTAGTCACTTGGTCACTGACCATATTTAGATAGTACTCATGGTTTTGTCCATCAGTTGCATTACCTGATGTTGAAAAATAGTTGGAAGTTAAGAATTTGCTTTAAGAAGTTCAATTTCCTTATGGCAAAGTTATAAATACCTAGTTTGGCCAGAACTTTGCTTTATTGGAATGCAGATGATGCTTCTCTGGGCAAAGGCCATTTCCTGTGGGTTGTGTGCCAGGGGATGGGAGGGAGAAAAAGTTTTATTGGTCTGTAGCAAGGTTAAAGACTAGGGAAAGAGAAGGGCGCCTGGGTAGCTCAGTTGGTTGAGCGTCCGACTTTGGCTCAGGGCATGATTTCGCGGTTCATGGGTTCGAGCCCCGCATCGGGCTCTGTGCTGACAGCTAGCTCAGAGCCTGGAGACTGTTTCAGATTCTGTGCCTCCTTCTCTCTCTGATCCTCCCCTGCTCATGCTGTCTCTATCTCTCTCTCAAAAATAAATAAAATTTAAAAAAAAAAAAGACTAGGGAAAGAAAGATGTTAGTAAAGATAGAATGTTCAGTGCAACATTTTCCAACTTGAGAAACTAAGACAATATTAAAAGATGTTTTACACACACGCACACACACACACTTATAAACAAATGAATGTGAGCTACCTGAGGCTGAATTGAACAAACATATTTCCTAACTACAAGTCTTTTTAGAGTGGCAGAATCTAAACAGGAAAGCCACTAGCCAACAAAGAGAGATGAATGTTGAATCAATAGTTACATGGTTTTCAGGGGGCCACCAAAGACACTATGCTAGAACTTTAAGTTGAAGCAGCAATGGATTGAGAGCATATTATTGGTTGCCAACTTTTTTGAACTCACAAAACTCAAATAACATACATGTGATTTTTAAACTTTAAATCGTGATACCCAGTGCTGTTTTTTCCAGTGCTGCTCTTGGGAATAAATACTGCTTAAAGAAGAAATGAAAGTATAATTCCAGATCAAAGAATGAGGATAGAGATATACAAACAATCTTCTACACTCAGAATATGAAACAGTTGTGCAATCTTACAAAAGCATAGGAAGCCTTAGTTCATTCAAGAAATACCCCTCAAACCCTAAATACCCTCCGCTAAACCTCAGGGTTCTGTTAAGAGGATTTTGCTTCTTAACCACTGTCTCAGTGTGTTTCCAATTGCATAACAAATCAATTAAATCAATTCGGTTAGGAAAAAGTGAAAGGAAAAGGAAAACAGTTAACTAACCACTTTTTTCCTTGGCTTTTTGTTATGTCTGTATAATCTAGTCCCTTTAATTTGTATAGCATTTTATACTTTCCTAAACACTTCATATGCATTTTCCGTTTTGTTTGTTATAATTATCTTCTAAGGTAGAAAGATATAATTTTTTAAAATAGGAAGCTGATGCTCAGAGAAGTTAATATCCCACAGCTGATAAGAAGCAGACAGAGCCAGAACTCAGAGGAACTGAGTTCATCCAGTTTTTTGGGTTTTTTCTTTTTCATTGTTCACACTTCCTTGATGACAACCCCACATTACTTTCCCAAGCAATACTGATAGTGGTTTTTAAAACTTTTCTTCCTGGAACATGTAGAAGGATAAGCAGCTGACCTTTTCCTGAACTGGATTCAGAAGACTATTTCTTAGAAACAGAATAGATAGACCATGGATAGATATTTTGAACCATTCCTATATCATGGTTTTCCAGTGAAACAGAACCTAGAAAAAGCCCCAAGAAACTTCCTGACAAACACTTTATTGTTTCAAGGTTTATTTTCCATCTCTTTGCTGTCACTTCTATTTCCTGAAAACATCCTGGGTGTAAATCTATTAAGTTAAAAGAAAACTTTGTATTGGGACCTGTCAAAACACATCTTACTTTTTTTATTCAAGAAAAGATTAGCCAAAGACTCAAAATATTTACGTTGAGAGAGATGTGTGCAATCTGCTGATGCAAATGTAAGAGCAGGCTTTATGCAAAATGTGGAACTTCACAGTCCACATAAAGCTGCAAGACATTGCATTTAAGATCTTGGGCTTTGGAGTTAAGTAGACCATTTGAGTTGTGTGATTTTGAGCAAGTTACTGAATATCTCTGAGCTTTAGCTCTGATTAGGATAACTACAATACTTTCCTGCAAAACTTAGTATGGGGATAAGACAATACATGTAAAGTGCCTACCAGATCTTGGTCTCATAAAATAAGGAGTAAGAATACAGTAAAAAAAAAAAAAAAAAAAAAAAAGGTGGCAGGGGTGGAGAGGCAGTAGAGGTAGGTATGGAGGTTGCAGTAATTTTAGTAGGATTTCACACTAAGAATAAGAATTTTATAAAATAGAAACATAGCACTCTGTTTGCTGTTCAATGTCAAAGCTCTTTGAGAATCTGAAAATCTGTAGATCAACAAGATGCTGGTCTAGGATTGCCCAGAGAGTGTGGATTTGTGGCATATTGGATGGGAAGATAGGAGTAAGCAATTATTTTCTTTTTTAAAAAATGTTTATTTATTTTTGAGAGAGAGGGACAGAGTGTGAGCAGGGAGGAGCTGACAGAGGCAGAGACACAGAACTTGAAGCAGGCTCCGGCCGCTGAGTGTGGAGCCCAACGCGGGGCTCGAACTCACAAAAGAATGATCTGAGCCAAAGTCCGATGCTTACCTGACTAAGCCACCCAGGCGGCCCTGTGTGGTTAATTTTCTGAGACAGAGTTTCTTAGATTTTTCTTGGAACGAGCTGATACCTGGGCTTCTAACCAAAATGACAAAACCTCTAGAGTGGTTGGAACTTTTCTGAACAAGAACTATTGGGAACATTGATCTGAATTTCTCGAGGTGTTTAGCCAAATAGTTTATGCACGTGTCACAGACATCTGGCTAAAGATAGGCAGAGCCCTGAGTCTAGAGACCCTACTGGTGTGCTGATTAGTGTGCATGCCTCTGTGTGTCTTCTGTGTTTCCCCTGCTTGTCATTGACAGCCAGAAAAGTAAATCCAAGAGGCTCTTTTAAAAATCACCACAAAAATCATCATGGGCAAACTCTACCTACAAGAGATTCCAAAGCAGCCTCTTTCCAAACACAAAATCCTCTAAATTCAGTCTGTTTCTGTTACTAAGATGCAACATACTCGTGCCACATCTCATTTACTTTCTTCTATGCTGTCCTTTGCTGGCCATCAAGGGTTTACTTACATTTATTAAAGCTAGCACTCATATTTTGAAGCACAGTAAAAAGGATAATTTTCCTATACATGTTTTAAAAAATATATGTATATATATAATGTAGAAAAATCAACCACCTTCCTTCAAGGTCTAACCTCCACTTTCACCTTGGACATAAATTCTGAATATGCAAAAACAAGAGAATTTACTCTAAGTTCAGTGTGCATGTGGTCAAAATGAAAGGTACTCACCACCCGGCTAAAAGGGTCTTAAAGCGTTTTTTCCATCACAGAGAGTAATGAAAGGATTTACCTTTCACTGGGTGTCACATGACAACAAAAGGCGATAAGCTTCAGCTTCTGCCATCGACTATAGTTCGACTGAGTGACTTTTTTTCTTTATTAGAAAAAAACAAAACAAAACAAAAAAAAAAAACACTAGATGCTAGAGTGTTGGGGGGTCCTAACTGCTAAGGTGAAGAAAAGTATCCGGGACTGGCACTGTGGGTACGGATGGGGAAGGAGGGTCACATGATGACAGCTCTTGGCCACATGTGTTTCCAGCCGTTTGTAATACCTGCTTGTTTTTCAGGCGCATCATCCCCTGCTCGGCCAGCCACTCCTTTGGTTCCCTGCAGTAGCACCACCCCTCCACCGCCTCCTCCCCGGCCTCCATCTCGGCCAAAGCTACCTCCAGGAAAACCTGGAGTTGGAGATGTGGTATGTTCCCTTCTGCCCTGGCTTAGTCAGAGACTCACTGTGAGAATGACAAATAGAAGCCAAAATGCCTTACCACAGGCTATCTCAAGGGCTGCAGATCACTGGTACAAATGGCTCTGACAGATGGCATCTTAAAGGCAGTCAATGTAGGATGGGAGTACATTTCAGCCCTCCCCAGATCACTACCATCTTTCAAGTCAAGGTCTAAAATGGTAGGAATAGGATGCTGGAGCTGTCAGTTCTTCTACAATGGGTTTGATGCAGATTAAGATAGGAATACTCAATTGTGCTAAATCCTTTAAAAAGGGAGGTGTTTCCTTTTCACCCTACTTATCTGTTTTTGGAAGACTCCAGGAGAGGGTAAGTCCTGGTTTCCATCCCTAGACTAAGAGAACTTATTAGTGTTAGGCACATCGTGTGAATATGTAGGAGGGCGGGAGCCTGATAAATTTGTTCCAGACGTTTCTTGCATCATGTTTTAAGGCTGAAGAGGTGGAAAACAGTCTGTGTGAACAATTAAGAGACTTCTGGAAGAGCTCAATTTCTCTGATATCTGCACACAGGAATCACAAATTGGTGATGTCCATAATATTTAGTTTAGCTAGCACAGTTTAGTATATTGTATGTAAATATCTTTCAGTGGGTATGAGCTCTCACATGAGGTTGCCTGCTTAGTCCCTGAGGACATGTATGTTCACAGTCCTGAAACATCACTGACCGCGTCACAGTTCTCAGCTTCCCTAAGCCTGATACACCTGCTGAGTATAGCACACCATGGTTCATGGTTCCTCTAGGTCCATCCATAAGCTTCTATATGGATATAATCAATTTCAAGATAAAAATGGCATCACCCATACTTTTTTAAGAACCTGAGTTCTCATATCTGGGGCTGGGGGATGTCAAAAACATGGAACAAAAGTACTACCACCTGTGTATCTAATTTTCCATGTCTTTTCTTTTTCCTGCAGCCCAGACCTTTTAGCCCACCCATACATTCTTCCAGTCCTCCTCCGATAGCACCCCTTGCCCGAGCTGAAAGTACTTCTTCAATATCGTCCACCAATTCCCTGAGTGCAGCCACCACTCCCACAGTTGGTAAAAATTATCTCCTCTCTTTTAATCCATTTATTGTTTTGACTGGCTGTTTTTTATGATCTGAAAACCTCAAGGCCCTATATTTCTGGTTGAAATTATTTTGCTCTGTGTTCCGCTACTATCAGCTGACTCTTCTTTTAAAAGCACCTTCTCAGTAAAGGAGGCAAAACACTTTAACTAAGCAGATAAACAAACAAACAAAAAAGAACATTAACACCTATATTTTGCAGGAATTCTCTCATGCTATTCCATACAGAGCTACTCATAAAAGTAAAGAGGAAACCGTCAAATAAGGTCCTGTAATGTATATATTATTTCTTATAATAAAAACAGTCTCCTTTGAGGAGGAATATTTAAGTGCCAATTGTGTACCACATCAGAAACCACAAAAATTTAGATCTTTTATTTTCTTGAAACTTTCATTTCTTCATCATTTTTGGCTGTCCTTTTGTTGACAGATGGTATAAGTGTTGGCATTGTGGGACTTGAACAGCCTTTTTGACATTTTTTTTCTAGTGCTTTTCAGTGATGTGTGGTCAATTTTCCCCGAGAAATAAGTCATTGCTGGCATTTTCATTAAATGCCTTTGTGCCTCTTTCCTTATGGTGTGATGAAAGTCAAGAGTTGAGAATGGCTGCTCAGCTGGATGGTTTTCCCAGGTTTAAATGCCTCGTTTTGCCTGGAGCCTCTTCCCTCTTCCCAAGGCTGATCTGTTTCGACACTTCTTTACCCATATTCCATAAGCTGCTGCCTCTCTCACGTTTGCATGGTGTCTCTGACCTGGGGCTCTCCCGTTCCACTTTTCCCTGTTGTCTTCCTTTATTGTCTGAGCTCCCCTCCAAGTCTTCCGTATCATAACCAGCTGGCCCATCCTGCATTGCTTGGGAGAATCATTAACCCAAAGCTAAATGAATTCCTGCTATTATTTACCAAAGAGGAACACACTACAGAGCTGTCCATGTGGGAAGTAGTTTGATCAAAGCCTGCAGCTCTTCTGGAGAACCTGTTTTCCCAGGCTGTGCTTTGTAGGGTCCCCAAAGAGAATTTCAACTACATTGTCTGTTGTATATTTAGAATCATACCCACCCAAAAGAAGCCTTCAAATTTGGTGAAAATACAGCCAGCTATCTGGTTTTGTAAGACTCACTAACAGACAGATATTTAACATTATTTATGTAGCCAAGTCCATTCTTTCTCTGCATCATCAATTGAGATAATCTGGGGCTTCCTATGTTAAGATGCCCAGTAGGTCAGTTCTCTCTGGGGTTTTTGTTCTTTTTTTCTGTAACATCTCAACCTTATTTTTTTTTATGTTTATTTACTTATTTTGAGGGAGAAAGAGATTACAAGAGCATGAGAGAGGGAGGGGCAGAGAGAGAGAATCCCAAGCAGGCTCTGTGCTGTCAATGAGGAGCCCAACATGGGGCTCAATCTCACGAACTCTGAGATCATGGCCTGAGATGAAATCAAAAGTCTGATGTTTAACCAACTGAACCATCCAGGCACACTCCAACCTTATTTTTGAATGCTCTCTAATATTCTTGATTGCTACAGCCATTTCACCACTCCTTCTCTGATTTTTGTTTTTGTTTTATTTTTTTCCTCAAGATCATTTGTTCTACCTATTCTACGTGATTTTCCTGGTTGGTCAGAGAAGAAATTAAGAATAAGCTATCACTCAGAAAGCAGAGCTCAAGTGACATCAGATGGCTGATTAACATACTCTTTAAACTCATCGAGATTCATAGAGAAAATTACACACAGAATTTGAAGTGTGCCATGTTTTATACAATGTGTTTTTATACTCCCTGCTGCAGAAATCTCAAATCCTGGCCAGTGGGACTTTGATTCTTAGCACGTGTAGTGTGCATTCTTTCAAGACGAATGACACAGAGGTTAAAAAAAAATTAAGCCACCTGAGAGGATACTCACATTGCTTCATTGCTGAGGAGCATTCTGATTTAATTTGTTTGGTTCTGTTATTTTTATATGGTTTTCGTCTTCCTTATTATCCTATTCTTTACTTCCTGTTGCTGTGGGTCACCTGACAGCAACTTCTCTCTGAAGCAAATACGTTGTCAAATGACTGCCCAACAGCTTCTGTGTATTGCTGTTTATCTCTTTTTGGAGAGAACGTGCTTTGATCATTTAGCACAAAGGGGCTGACTATTCATGGCTGACGTGCAATGTCAACTTTATGTAGACAAACAGCATTGGGGCGAATAGAGAATTTCAGCAGAAATTTTTGAGATTGGTGGCTCAACATTTCCCTCCTACCACACAATACTTTTTTGACATTTCCTGTGACATTTGAGCCCAAACTGGGGCAAGTGTGGTGGAAACTTTGTACATATTTCTTTGTACTTGCTTACGGCAAAGTTTAACGTAATTGAAGGACTAAATTTTTAAAATGAAGTCTCATCTTCCCACACAATTTCTGTAAAAATACATCCCCTCTAAAGATTTTAGACATAAAACCTTTCATGAAAGCTGATTATAAAGTCGTAAATCTGATGCCACACCTGAAACTAGGACTTTGTGTGCACTGTCACACTCAGATAACGAAGATCCCCTCTGGAACTGTACATCACTGAATTTAAGACACCTTCTATCAGAAGATACACTGTTATTTTATATATGGCTAAGAAAGGAAGAAGAAAACTGCCAAGTGAGCTAAGATGCAATGCCTTCTTAATTAATTTCTTCTTAATTTTAAGACCCATCCCTAATTCAGAGATGTTAAAATGTGAAAAGTGCATATATCAGAATCAATGGAATATATAAGAAACTCCTTTTGTATATGGAAAACTCATAGCCCTTTCACTATTTGATTTTGGGGGGAAAATCCTATTTATACGATGGGAATAGAGAAAATGTTTAAAATTATTCTCAGAAACAAACCCTTAGACATATAAGGATAAACAGAGCTATCTCTAATTTAAATATCCATTTTTATTAAATTTTTCTTACGTCTATGGGTGATAGGGGTTTGTTTGTTTTTTAGATGTTTAAAAAATCTTTTGTTGGTACCCCAATGCAATAAGACTATCATAAAGACCATTTTTCATGGTTAAATTCACTGTGAATTATATTACTTTGCTGTTAATTATGCATTTTCAATTGCATCTTTAACATCCTCCACCCCCACCCCAGAAATCTGAATGAAGAGGAACCATTTCATTTACAGGCACCAAAGGAAGTATCAGGTGGATTTCTATGTTTCCTTTGGTGAAGAACTTTGAGAAAAAGTGATTTCTATTCAGTACTGAAACATTAGTCATTGCATCTAAATCTTATATTTCCTCTAAGCCTTTGTCTCTCCAGGTTGGGTGGCAATTCTGAATTGGAGAAGCATTCTTCTAAAACTGCTTGTATTAATGCCACTTACTCTGTACAGAAAACCCTTTGGAGATAGATATTCCTAATCTCAATTAAAAATTCCCACATTTAATTTTAGTCTTTTTTTTTCTCTATACTATTTGTTTTGGAAAACCTGTCTCTATGTCTGGCTTCCCCATCTCAGATCAATTTGAGGCAATTTCCATGGTTAGTTCTTAAGGAAATTTTTCCTTCTATACTTCATTTGACTGTTGCCTTTATTTAAGGGAAGCACAGAGATATCCACTAACTCATCTTTTAAGTTCCCTGATTTAGTTATGATGTTTTCTTCTAAGCCCTCAGTATCCACAACCACCATAAAACAAGTATGAGCATGTTATTCAACCCTATTTTGAAGCTTCATCTCAAAAAACAAATGGCGGTATTGGAGGCTTCTCATTTTGCTTTTTGCAGTGGTATTTTTTGTTTTGTTTTTTGTTTTGTTTTGTTTTTTTGCTGTGTGAAGTTTGCTTTCTATTCTTTTTTTAAGTTTTTAAATTTAATTCCAATCCAGTTAATATACAGTTTTATTAGTTACACGTGTACAATATAGTGATTCAACAATTCTATACATTGCTCAGTGCCCATCATGATGGAGGTTCCTCATTTTAAAGAGATTGTAAATACGAAGTTAGTCCCTCAAAAGAAAGCAATAACAGGTATGAAAGAGTATTATAACATTCAGTTACTGCCAGTGTAACTGTTTTGCTTCCCAGTTTCTGGACAGATTATGGAGGGTCCTTCTTAGTGCCAGTTCCATTTGTCCTGTTCCTCTCTTCCTCTCCTTCAGGTATTACCGACATTGCATCCACTTGTTCCACCCACCAAAGAAGCCACCTGTGTAATTAAAAACTGATTGACAGGTGATATCCTGAAACCTGAAAAGTTGACAAGGAAGTAGTTTCCCCGCTTTACTTCCTAAGTCTGGGAGACAAGCCAGTAGAATATTTTTCCAAGAAACCCTGTTTATAGAATAATTGTACGATCCTCATCCATTTCCTTATCTCCTCTACATTATAGGGGGGAATTCTCCTTTATTGGTCTCTATACAGACTTACTCAATTTTTTATTGAATTTGTAATAACACTCAAGAACTGTGGAACTCAGTGCTTTTTTTGATCATGTACAATAGAACTCTAATTACCTGCATTTGTTAGTTGGGGAGAAAGGAGACCACGTGCAAAGATCTGGAATGACTGGGGTCCAGAGCAACTGTTGTGGTCAATTTACAAAGGCATTTGGCCATGACTGGGTACCATGGCCAAAGATGGAGTTACAGTAATGTTGTCCAAAATTAACAGGCCATAACTACTAAAGACAGGTGCAAGGCAAACTGATCAGTGTCCAAATTCAGTTTGCACCTTCATTCAGCACCCTCAGATTTATACTGTTGCCTTTTTTATGGTCTCATTGAAAACTTACTCTTTCCCACTGGGGCAGGGGGAAGGCGATCCTGAGTGATCCCATTGAGCTCTCAGCACTCTGCCAAGTGGTTCTGTTGATGGACCTGTGTCTGGCCACTTGAGAATTGTGCCTGAGTGAAATACACTTACGCAAGTTAATTATTGATGATAGTGCCTTTAAACAACTCCCTGAAAAGGTGGGGGCATGGTTCCTTCCATGGAGCTGACTTCAGCCAAATTCACAGATGCTAAAACCTGCCATTTTCAAAATTTTAATTTTTTCTCATAGAACCATCATGAAATAAGCACATCACCTTTTTATACCCTATCATTATCCCAGTATATCAGGTTTTGTTTCCTTTTTCCATTAACATCATTCTTGTGTTTCAATCCGTGAAGCGTACTGCCTGATTTTATTTGGGATTTGTATTTGTGTTTTTGTTTTCCATTCCTTTATATTTCTTTGGTTCGTAGTGTCAGAAGATGATGTTTTTTATGACAAACTGCCCTCGTTTGAAAGGCGCTGTGAAACGCTGGCAGGTATGGTGCTAGCCGAGTGAACTCTAGATATCTAGACCTTAAAAATCCAAGCCATTATGCCATCTGAATGCTATAAACTTCATGGACATGCTACTCACCTCATGAGTGCCTGGTGCCTCTCAGATGCACCCTATTTATTGTTCATCGTGGAATTCCTGCCCCCCAATTTTTTTTGAGTGAACATATTAAAAAATTGAGCAGGTTGCATGACAGTTTCTCTAAAGGTTTGAAAAAGGTGAGATGCCATTGCTTTGTGACTTTACGAAGGAAGGAATAATTTAACTGCTCAGAATTACATGTCCAGTGACTGCTTTTTAATTTAAAATATAATAGAGCACTGTTAGTAATCTTGTTTTCTCTTTGGTACATAGGTAAAGGGTGTTTTGTGTCTGGATGCCTAAGGTGATTCCAGGGGAGGGGACGGAAGATATGTGACTTCTTCCATGAACTTTAAATTGATATGCAATGCTGTTGTCATTTAAAACCTAAGCTAAGTTTGACATAACCCGTAACTCCAAGTTTATCTTTTTGCAAATATAGAAGGGGATGACATTGAAGATGAAATGGATACAGCAATTGCTGAATGACAGTTTGCCCAAACTAGTGCAGTTAAAATATGCTGACGCCCCTGCATGGCCAGGAAGACTTCTGCTCCATGCGCTCAAGCACCGAGTATCCAGCTACCAACAACACATGCCCATCCCTTTAGGCCTCCACAGCTTTGCTTTTGCTTTCTGTTTCCTGAACTAAAAACCAAACAAAACATAGATTGCCAGCCTTCCCATTTTCCTGCACGTTAATGGCATGCAGTGCCTCTGCCCTCCCCCATAGTGAGATTAATGACCTGTAACTCATACTGTGTCCTTCTCTCTCCCTCTCCTTAACCTTTCCCATCCCGCTTCAACTCCTGGCCATACAGAGAATGAACAGCCTTCCCTCGTTTGGTTTGACAGAGGAAAGTTTTATTTGACTTTTGAAGGTAAGTAGTACATAGCATACCAGATTCTAATTTATACCCCTCATCCTTTTTTCCCATCTGCATTTCCAAATCCCAGTTCTCTTCAAAAGACCTGGTCTCACTTTCTATATACAAATGCTATGGCTACTTAGAAAATATTAAACACTAAAGAAAATACGACTTGAATTTGGTTTGTATGGGATCTTCAATTTTTCATATTAAGAAAAAACTCATTTAAAAAACCAAGCTGATTTGCAGTTAACATTGGTTACTTAATTAACTGTGTTAAATTGAAAAAAAAAAAAAGAAAAAGAAAACAACAACACCTTTTTCAGACAAGGAACTTAACTCTGTCAACCAGGGCCCTTTCCTTACTCTTTTTCAAATGCAATAAACAAATGTAAGGATATTTTTGGTTGGAATTGGCTTTTAATCTTGTTTTGGTTAATTAATACTTCTGATGCAATATCCATTCATATGAAACATAAATATGTATTCATGTTCTTATGACAAGGAATGCTGCATGGGAGATCAGAAAAATGAGGGAAAGAACAAAAAGGAGTATTTTAGTAAGTTCTGTTTGCATCTCCTGAAATTGCACCGGGCATGGCTGCAGTAAAATGGACAGCTGTCACTGGGCTCGCCATTTTAGAAGATTAAGGAGAATATATATAAATATAATGTCAGATATTTAACCTCCATGTTGGATATTTTTATATTCTGAATCAAGGATGAGCATTCTTCTGTTTTATATTTAAATTAGCAATCATTTTAACAGGCCAGGCATTTGATAAAAAGTCCTATTTAAGCTAATTGTGGGGAAAGTTTAAGTAATTTAATTTGTGGGCCCTCTTACCCATAAATATTTGTCACATAAGCTCCCACTTTCTACCATTTGATTGATTGATTGATTGATTGATTGATTGATTTTATTAAAGCACGGGGACAGGACCTGTGGGCAGAAGTAGCTGTACTGGGGCTGTGATGAGTGAGCTGAGGGAGGTAAAGACAAAAGGGAGACTTCCAAAAGGACTTTCATATGCTAAAGAGGACTCAGAAGATACCTGAGGCCTTGCTATTGTCAAGCAAAAGTGGTTTTCCCTCTAGTAAGGCATTAACATTAAGACAAGATGGTACAGAGTTTATGGGAGGAATGTTTTAGTCTGCCTCTCTCAATGTGTCAATAGACGAGGTTGTAAGGAAATTTAATTTTATTTATATTTTCATCTTGCCTTTGTTCCCCACATCACCATGAAAGGGAGGGTGGTGTTAGGGCTCCAGGAAATTGAGTCTATGGGTTTCTGGAAGTTAGGCTATTGGTAAGATTGCCTTTTTCTTGTAATTTACTAAGACATTTGTAAGCTGATGGAGACTCATGTCCTGCGTGACTGTGATCTCTTTTTTACTATTTTAAATAGCTAAATTTCTCCTAGGATCAAAAGTTGGCCAAAACGTATTCTACTCTAGAATCGAATCTAAACATTGAGCTTCTCTTTGTGTTTCATGATAACAAAAAGAATTTTCCTAACTTGAGTGTGGGTTTTATCACAATTTTAAAAATCTGAATGACTGATACAGATTTTTAAGTGGCTTGTGAGATGTGGCTTTTTTCTCCCAGTGCTGAATTTTCCTTACAAGATGGTCTTAGAGATTGAAATCCTTAGCTTGGAGTAGCTTGGATAGCAGCAGGGGAAAAAATATGATCTGATTTAAAGCTTTCCAAATACGTGATGTCTCATCCTGGCTCAGGTGGAGGACAGGCAGTCTTGGGGGGATGGTGCATGTTTCCCACATGATGTCAGAAGCCTTCATCTCCTCAGGTTAGTGCTTTTGTAATAATCATGATGCAAAATCCACAAATTTAGGACCTTCTAAACTTTCTCTTTGGATCCGATGGAACTAAAAAGTACCCAGGTGTCTTTTTACTGATCAGCACATATCAAAAGAAGAAGCTACCATAGAATAGGTTGGTAATCCCAAAGTACAGCAAATACCTGCTTATGTAAAGGGCCTATCTCTAGTTCAGTCTGGCGACAGCAGAAGCTGTAGCTTACCCTGTTTTAACCAAGAAATGAAACAGTATGCTACTGCCTGCACTCAGGTAATTGGGGCTCCATAAAAAACGACGTGGATAGTTTTTATTGTTTCCATTTATTTTGGCTTTATTTTTTTATTTTTTTTAAATGTTTTATTTATTTCTAGGAGAGAGAGAGAGAGACAGCGTGAGCAGGGGAGGGTCAGAGAGAGAAGGAGTCACAGACTCTGAAACAGGCTCCAGGCTCTGAGCTGGCAGTCAGCACAGAGCCCAACGCGGGGCTCGAACCCACGAACTGCGAGATCATGACCTAAGCGAAAGTCGGACGCTTAACCGACTAAGCCACCCAGGCGCCCCTTATTTTGGCTTTAGAGTGTCTATTGGCTCATTTGTTTGTGTTTGAGTTTGGGTTTCTTTAAATAGAAAGAGAAAGACTTTTTTGAAGATACCCATCGAAAGAAAGCGTTAGATTGTTAGGTTGTTGGTTTGTTTTTAAAATACACATTATCAAATAAATATAAGTATTAGTAACTGTGTAAAATAACATAATGTGAACTACATCTTTTTTCCATTTTAGGAAAATATAATAATAATGCGTAATTTTTTACATATTAATATAAAACATAATATTAGGTATCTAAAGTTGGCAATCTAAAGTTGCCATTCTAATTAGTAAGATCTGAATTTCTTAAGCATCTTAATTTGGGCCAAGAGAGTCATGCAAGAAGGAGTTGGGTTTTTTTTTCTTTAACGTTTATTCATTTTTCAGAGACAGAGAGGGACAGAGCGTGAGTGGGGGGTGGGGGAGAATGGGAGCAGAGAGAGTGGAGACAATCCAAAGCAGGCTCCTCTGAGCTGTCAGCACAGAGCCTGATGTGGGGTTTGAACCCATGAACCATGAGATCATGACCTGAGTCAAAGTCGGACACATAACCAACTGAGCCACCCAGGTGCCCCACAAGAAGGAGTTTAAATAGAAATCAGAATCTCTAGTGCCGTGTTACCTTCATGCTGGACTTTGCTCAAGTCAAGGGAGTACAGAAGAGGCTTCCCAAGGGACTATAGGAGCAGCCATGACACAAATATATACCCCTACTTATCTCATTAAGGAATGTGTATGCAGATAAAAATACATTAAAATGAACTTCAGGACTTAGGAGAAACTAAACATGACACTTTGCCACCTGATCAAGAATGACTATGTTTGAAGAATGGAGAAGGCTTGTTTTCACCATTTATGTACAATAGCCTCAGTTATTTTTAGCTAGTGTAATGTGGAAGGATTTTTTAAATTTTCCACTGTGATGATAAGTAACATGAAAATAATGACATGTTAAATTTCCTTGAGAATAGTGCCCCTACACAAAAGGACTGTCATTCAATATGTTTTATTGAGTAGCACTTCTAGCATATTCTTCCAGGGCACCCTGGTTTTACCCACATTTGTTTATTCATATTACTGTTTTCTTCAATTCTTCATTCAGGGAGTACAGAAGAAAGAGAAAGATTCCCAGATCAAAATATTCATCTGTTCCTTTTTTTTTCAATGTTTATTTATTTTTGAGAGACAGAAAGAGACAGAGCATGAGCAGGGAAGGGGCAGAGAGAGAGGAAGACACAGAATCCAAAGCAGGCTCCAGGCTCTGAGCTGTCAGCACAGAGCCTGATATGGGGCTCAAACTAATGGACTATGAGAGCATGACCTGGTTTGAATTTGGACACTTAACTGATTGAGCCACCCAGGTGCCCCCTTTTTCTTTTAATTTTTTTTAAATGTTTTATTTATTTATGAGAGAGAGAGAGAGAGAGAGACAGCGTGAGCAGGGTACGGGCAGATAGAGAAGGAGATACAAAATCTGAAATAAACTCCAGGCTCTGAGCTAGCTCTCAGCACAGATCTTGATGCAGGGCTCGAACCCACGAACCATGAAATCATGACCTATGCTGAAGTCGGACGCTTAACCGACTGTGCCACCCAGGCGCCCCTCTTTTAATTTTTTTTAATGTTTATTTTTGAAAGACAGAGCATGAAGAGGGGAAGAATATTCATCTGTTCTAAATAGCTTTTAAATTATTATTTATTGGCATCTAAATAGTGTTTTTATAGTGTTCAAAGCCTTAGCTGGTCTCATGTGTTACTTTGTTCTTACAGTGCTCTAGACATTGTACTTAGTAAGTGTTTGAGCCACTGAACAACCAATCAACCAACCAACTAATGAACATTGGCTTATGAATTTATTTGGAGATAAACATGGTATGATTCATACTTCCAAATTTGATTTAAAAGGAAAGATAGAAAAGTGTTAAACAACGGTTCTAACTTACAAGAGTTCCAAAGCTTTTCTTAGTGTTTCACTTTTACAAACAATTTCACTAAAATCTTAACCTATTTAAGCTGGGCTTAAAAAAAAAAGTAAGGATTTAAAAAGGTGATAACTTTTTAAATTAATTCATCCAAGAGTATATCGTATCGAAGCTTTCAAGTATTCTTCTGAAATGGAAGGAAGGGAAAGCTGTTTCCATGACAAGTAGAAAATGTGACTACTCTGTATTTGAATAATTCTCTAAGGCATTTTAACTTCAAGATGTTTCCAGAAATGTGCTGTCCCTTTCCTTGATTAGCTTATTTAACTACAAAATCATCTTGTATCTGGTAATGAAAAACAAAGAAACAACAACAGCAAAAAACCCTGCAACCATTCTTAAGTGTCCTCATGTCTGAATATCATCTCCACCCTCTCTCTGTGCATAGAGGCTCTTGCACACTCATCTCTAGAGTGCTTTGTGCTCCCGTTATTGCTCTTACCCCTATCACGCCTTCGGGAATGTCACATCCTTAGCAACACCCTCCTCTCCATTCGCAGGCTGTCAGCCAACTACGCCCACCTGTTTCCTTAACTGAATCCTAGCTCTCCCCAGGGACCATCACTTCTGTAGCACTCTTCACAGAAAGTACTCCAGTCTTCTGTAGGCCATATGTCATGGG